GGGAGGAGAGAGAGAGAGAGAGAGAGAGACTTTACGAAACATGAAGGGAAAAATGCGGGTAGTGAGAAAATTTAAAGTCACACTCTGACTGTCTCCATTATATATTCATGAATTATAACTTAGATGTAAACTGATATGAAACTAATCCAAACCTTGTCCATATCAGCTGAATTTTGTACGTGATGTGACCCGCCAAAACAATATGACCTCTGAAGATCCCCTGACAATCCCCTTTTCTTAAGGATGCACTGATGCAGATTTCTTAAGATGAGACTGAGAACATCAAAGTCACTTTCCTTCAAGGCATCTGTATTCAGGCAACAACTAGAATGAAGTAAATCCGACAGGTTATGCATCATATTAACAAGTAAATGGGAATCAACCCTAGGAACCAAAGATCCATTCGATACATGTAATGAACCATTTAATGCTTCACAAGTCTCAGCATTGGAACATCCAACCCCATTCGAAGGCAGGTCTTGGACACTTTCATTTGGTTGGAAAAAATCAGGCAACCCATCAGAAGTATGCCCATTAGTCTCCTCATTTTCAGTCATCCCAGCCTCAAAAATAATCGGCTCCTTATTGTCTTTTGGAACTGAAGGCGACTCACTACGTGGATCAATATGACGGCCAGCCTTAGCCAATATGGGTGAGCCACGTTCACAGATGGTCGATATCGTTTCATTGGTGCATCCAAAATTGTTCTCAGTTTCATGGAGAGAAGTCATTGTAACTGAAGGCTGGCTTGAGGGAGATGGGGAAGGATGGTAAGCTGGCAGTTTTGGGGAAAAAAATATTTCCTCATCGTCACTGACTGCAATAGCTTGTTGGCACTGTTTCAAGCCCATAAACTGCACAGATTCATCAACAAGAGTTTGAGGATTGCCATTTTGAGCAGGTCCATATGTAGGGTATTGAAAATCAGGGGCAGGCTTCCAACTGGCTGAATCGATGGGGGAAATTGGCTGATTAATTGTTCCAAGTGAACTTGGAATGGCATTGCTGGTCCCGAAAACACCAGTACAAAAATTTAAAGCATATGGAATAGCATGCTTTGCATAAAAATTGGACAACCTTTGTTGAGTGTCAGTTCTTTCCTCAGGAACTCCATTAGTTGTGGTGTGATCTTCTTCTTTTGCATCAAGTTGGTTGCTGCCATCCTGTGCATCTATAGAAATGTCACCTGTGGAATTGCCAATGGCACTTCCTTGAGGTCTGAATGTTTGAGATGGTGACAAAGAAGTCATAGATGGGTAAAAGATAGTCGGGTTAGTAGTTGGACATGATTCCATATCAGAGATGTAACTATCAAAAGTAGAGGGGTTTCTGTTCAAGGGATTCCAAGTTGGTCCAAATGACATGAGATCTGCGAATTTAGGGTTTGATGTATCTTCAAGTGCTGAAACGGCTGCTGAAACCGATGATGCTCTTGGCATTGCAGAAGAAGTTGCCTGGGCATTCTCATCTGAAACTTTGGTCGATAAACTAGGGTCTGAAAATGTTGCATCAAGGGCTTTAGAAGGGACTTGGCTGCCACAATATTCATTCTGCTTTCCTTGCCAGATGCCGTGAGGTTTTTCATGTGCAGTGAGACCACCTGTTGCATCAGGCCATTCAAGTGAAAAAGTGAGAATCATATGCTCCATTACTATCTCACAGAGAGTCTGAAGCGTAAAATGCGCTATGTAGGAAAGTAATAATGATTTCTGAGAAATTCAAACAGTTGAAGATTTTTATACACAGAGGTCATCTGTAAGTCGGTCATCGTCTAAGCAATGTTGTAAAACAATTTGGCTGGGACTGAGAAGCATTCTGTGGTTTAGTTGCTTTCAATGTAGGCATTCACTTTTCTCTAGGTAACTATATAGGCATTCACTTTTCTCTAGGTAACTATATGTTTGGAATAATAATGGAAAACAGAGGCACACTATAGAAGTTCAGAAAGTATTAGAGAATATAGAAAAATCCTGAAAAGAATTTTTAATAATGAACCGTAAATGCAATTTAATTCATTAACCATTTACATTGTAAAAACCATTAATCCCTATTTAATCATTCAGATTCACATTTTACAAAGATTATAAATGAAAACCTTAGCCATTGGCATACCCAAAAAGAAAAACAAGCAAAATCATACACATCCATAATCCAACATCAAAATATAACCAAATTTTTAATGTGGTGCTCCAATGTAAATAACTATAATGCCAAAAAGAGCACCATAATCACTAAGAAAGGTATCAGAATCACCTACCAGTTGATATGGGATGAAAAGAGAAACTAAAGCAGAATCAGGTTAAATTATGGAGTATTTCTTAAATGGAATCACAATGAATGGTGTTATGAAAAGGGATAATCCATCGAACTTTCATGCTATAAGAGTGATATTATCGTTACAAGATAGCAGCTTGACGGTATTAACATGGGCCTTAATACAACCTACATCCTTGAGATACAACCATAAAGGCATAAACAAATGATCTAAAGACAAATTAGAATCATCGGATCAAGGAGGAGAATCAGAATTGGTTAAGAAACCAGTTAGATCAAGATAAAATCATGTTTTCAATTACTTATGATTCTCTCCAAGCACCTGTAATTTATGTTAATTGGGAAGCTGGTTCAATAAATTTCTGGGATGGGAAGTTTCTCAACAAAAAAAAAGTTTCGATTACTGGGATGTTCTTCAGCATGACATCCATCAGAGATTCCCAATGTTCCATATTCACCTTGTGTGGTTGATTACCACAGTTTTAGAAGGGATGCCTCAATGTCATACCATACACCACACATCAGTAGTGAATGGTGTGCTTTACAATTACTAGCAGGGGCACGTGCATTGCATAAGGTTCAAACTCTAAAACAAAATAACATAATATCATTGTATAAAATACAAAATGTACATATTATTAATATTTTCAAGCTGCTGATTTCAGTTATCTAATCAGCTTACATAGATTGTAAATGGTGATTATGCTACCTCTTAAAGTTACTCTTTTAAATAAATAAAAACAAATTAATTCAATATCAGAAATTTTTTTCAAAGAATGGATACTATGATTTGGTTAACACACATTGCATATAAAGTAAATAATTGGCTATGAGAATGATTGTTCCTGCATGAGAGTGAAGATTTGAATGTTTGTGCTGCAATCCATTAAGAGAAGGTGAGGTTCATGAACATTGAGCCTCTTGTTATAATAGTTAAGGTAAGAAAAAGAAAGACTGGAATACATTATTAAAAGATTTGCAACTGAGCAAATTTTTATTTGGAAGCTTCTTGAGAACTCTCACATAATTTTGTAAACCCATATGGTACTTCTGATTTTGAATTTATTTATTGATGGTAATGTGGTTGCTTCTTTGTTCTTTTGTTACTCTCTCTCTCTCTCTCACTCTCACTCACACACACATACACACACAAAATACTAAGAAGCTTGTATGAGTTATTATCTATGTACTATGATCTATATGGCCATCATAACCTGATGGTAGTGAGGTACAGATAAACCTTAATCTCTCTCCTTCATTAGCTATATCATCCAACTCAAGTCCCACCTAGTGTTCAAAAACGCAAGAGAGGGAGGGAGGGAGGGAGGGCGGGGGGGAATATATATATATATATATATATGGAAGATGCTAGGGTGAGCCTACTAGCTCATGGAATAGTATAAGCCCAATGGCCCATATTGAATCTAGGTAGATCTGATGGTCAAGACTGTATATCGATAATATAATTTTAATACTTTTTATATAAACCCAAATAACATGAAATTTAGAGTATAAACTCTTCTCATCAAGGCGCACTTAGTAAACATATTTAAAAAATAATTCACATAAAATAAATTGACCAAAATACCCCCGAAATTTTTTGGGGGTATTTTGGTCAATTTAATTTGGATTTGTAGAAAAAACATTAAAATTCAATTACGAAATACAATTGTGATCATTGGATCAGTGCATATTCAATCTGGGTCGTTGAGCTTACACTGTGCCATGGGCCCATGGGCTGAAAGGAGCATTTTCCATATAGGGAAAAGATCCTGTCAGCTCACGGGCTGATAGTGACAGTGTCAGCTAATGGACCAGATTAAATCTGGGCGGATCAGACGGTCACGACCACATTTCATGTTAGAATTTTCATTTTTTTTTTACAAATCTAAATCACTTGAAATTTGAAGTGTCTATTCTTAAAAAATAGAAGAATTTAATAAAAAAATAAACAAAATAATTTGTAAAATATAAATTGACCAAAATACCCCTGAAATGTTTCGGAGGAATTTTGGTCAATTTATATTTTTCAAATTATTTGTTTTATATTTTTATTAGGTGCACATTGTTGAGAAGAATGAACACCTAAAATTTCAAGTGATTTGAATTTGTAGAAAAAAAATGAAAATTCAAATACGACATGACGGTTACTTGCCGTTGGGCTCATATGTTCATATGAGCTAGTGGGCTAATCCTAGCATTTTTCATATATATATATGGAAGATACTACAAACGCCTATAGGCGAATATGAATAGTGATTTCGCCTACCCTCATCACCATCCAAACTTCATCACACTGTCACAGGTGTCCAGGTAGTGTTTCAATTTTCTTTTTTTTAACTAATCGGAATGATCTGAAATTTAGAACGTGTGTACATCTTAGTAAGGCACACCTAATAAAAATATGAAAAAAATAATTTGTAAAATATAAATTGACTAAAATACCCCAGTATATTTTCGGGG